TATATTAACATACATAGATGAAAGTAAAAGTAATTTTATAGTGATAATAAAATTAAATTACTCGCCTACGTATTGCTTTTATTGGTGAAATACCTAAAACTGATCATAATAAACATGTATTATCCATATGCAAATGTTTGAAATATTTTCCTATATAGTTCACAATTTTATGAAATACTTGTTCATTTGAGCACTGACTCTACACCAATCATGTCAAGTACACGGTAGGTAACATTTCGTTTCAGTAGTAAATCATACTACTGAGTTCTATTTCATTTAGAAGAATTATTTTATTCGTTAAATAATTTTATAAAAGATAAATAGCATAATAAAAGTTGCAACATGGTTATTGTGTAATTTATATATGCTTTGAGACTTATTTTCTCGAGCTTTGAGACTTATTTCTTTTCGTCGAGTTTCAGTCTATATTAACTCAGTATATGCTGGTTTATCCGTCATCGGCCCGCCTTTCAGTCGTACAGTACGTCGTTGACTCGTAGCAGCCCTATGCATTGCTTGTGCTCTGCGCCTTTAGCAACATTAGTGGAGATGTGCGCGTTATAAGTCATTATTATTATTGCTGCTGCTGCTGCTGCTGCTGCTGCTGCTGCTGCTAGTATTAGTGTATAGAATAGATCTCGTGGGGGCTAGGTCGTCACTGACCAGGCCTAACTAATTATAAGCTACTAGGCGAGGGTATGCATGAGCAATAGACAGACGCTCCCGCTGGAAGCCTATTTTCCTTGTGATGTCTGTGATTCTTGTTTGTTCTCTACTGTTGTTATTTTTTAGACACTGCGCCTTGAGCACCAGTTTTGGTGGTGATGTTTGCTCTTTACAAATCGTTATTATTATATTATTAGTAGTAGTAGTAGAGTAGTAGTAGCAGCAGTGGAGGTGGTGGTAGCAACGGTATATAGTAGAAGAAAGAAAATCGTAGGCGCATAATAGCAATCAAAATAAAATCATCCGTAAAATGTAGAAACAGTTCTATAGAAATAATAATGATATAAGTAGACCTACAACAATTGATAAAATATTTGAGTCTTACCTAAAAAGACCTTGGCAAACAAGGAGTAAAATTATGAATGAATATAACGTAAATAACAGGTAAACAATGTGTAAAAAACGCTGTTTCAATTATTTTAACCCATTATAACTCTTTTTTGTAAACAATTTTAACAGCCAGTTTTAACAAGCTTTAAAATGTTTTTATTTTAAGTTATTTTAAAGTCGTTTTTTACACAATGTTTTTCATATACTGTCAATATATAATTGTTTTTATATTTGTTGTATGGTGTTGTATTGTCTATTTTGTCATCTTTGTGAACGCACCGTCATCGTGTGCCACTGTTGTAAAAGTAAAGATTCAAGTATAGATTATTATCTGTAGGCCTACAAACTGCCACGGACAATGAGCAGACGGCGTCGCGTCGGCTAGTTCTTACAGGGAGCGGGAGTTGATTCGTCGTGCGACGGTCGTACGGCAAAATACAATTGATTACAATGAGTATTTTCATTTTAGTACCCTGCAAGTGTTGGCTGTATTCCTGATAGTGTGTGTTCTGGCTGAATGTGTCTTTGCTGACGCCTTACCTGATGAAAATGGTACGTTTCACCAGCACATGTCAAGATGCGATAGTTTAGAAATATTTAATATAATTTATTATCAGCTAAATTGGAATTTTGTTTGCAATTAATATTTTCAAATAAAAATATAACCTGCTCTTATATATTCACAAACACACATATAGACCTTTTAACTCTACATCAAACGTTGTTTTCTATCTTTTTCAATTTCGTCTTGAAGAGCTTGTAGAGCAAAGTAGAATTTTTTTTTTTTGCTATATTTAAAAAAATCGGAACTGGTATATATTTTATAATAGACATCACTGAATATAAAATTATGTGTCATTTTGTTTTTTTTATGCGCAAGGGGGTACCCACCATTTCAAATGTCCGCTATTTTCAAGCATTTTATTACCAATACTTGTACGTTTATGATATTAAAAGATGCTAATGTGTAAAATATTCTTTCATATTATAAGTGCCAATGAAAATAAAAATAATATTTCACTTTAAATTTTCAAACGTTGTTTTCTATCTTTTTCAATTTCATCTTGAAGAGCTTGTAGAGCAAAGTAGAATTCGCCGAGACCCAGGTGAGTTGTCCAGGAAATTTTAGTTGGTTGATTATTTGCTTTGAAAATAAAAATAATATTTCACTTTAAAATTGAAATTCCAAATGACCGCTATTTTAAATATTTCAGCTATTTTTAACATATTTAATATACAAAATTAATGATTTAATTAGTCCCATAAAATCTAGCTCTTGAAATAGAATAAATTAATTATATAATTATAATAATCAAAATACACAGAGGTGGGGCTGGTGCAATTACACCTTAGTTGATATGCAAATTAGATCTAATATGCAAATTAGATCTAATTTGCAAATTAGGGATATGCATGCAGCATATCTCGGCAACCACTAACCGTACAGACTTGCTTTCTTTTTTTTTAATTGTAGAACATATACATTTCTATTTACTTTAATGTAACATTTTCTCCAAGAATGACGGGAAAT